TTGAAGTCCAGTTGCCTCTTGAAAAAACACCTTTGGGAGAACCACAATCTGGATGACTGAGAATCTCCGTAGAGATATGAAGACCAATTGCACAAACTGTGTATGGCTAGCCTAGAGCAGTGGTTCTCAACCTGTGGGTCGGGACCCCATTTGGGGTCGAACGACCATTTCACGGGGGTCGCCAAACAACACAGTCCGCCATTATTTCCCCCCTTTTCCTTAGCTGTGCTACTCCTTTTTATTCTGTTGGCTTTTGAAAGCCAATAGAATAGACTCTCTTGAATAGAGTCTAATTTTATTGGATTTCAAAAGCCAATAGGAATTGTCCAGGCTGTCTCTGCCCTGCTGAGCCCACCAAAAGTCCCAGTCTGCAAACAGTGCTGCACCAGTTGAGTAGTCCTCGACTTACGATTGGTTGGGGGCCGCGGCATTAAAAAGGTTGAGAACCACTGGCCTAGAGCAAAGAAGGATCAGGGGGGACATGATAGCAGTGTTCCAATATCTCAGGGGCTGCCCCAAAGAAGAGGGAGTCAAGCTATTCTCCAAAGCACCTGAAGGCAGGACAAGAAGCAACGGGTAGAAACTAATCAAGGAGAGAAGCAACCTAGAACTAAGGAGAAACTTCCTGACAGTCAGAACAATTAACCAGTGGAACAGCCTGCCTCCAGAAGCGGTGAATGCTCCAACGCTGGAAGTTTTTAAGAAGAGACTGGACAGCCATTTGTCCAGAATGGTATAGGATCTCCTGCTATGGCAGTGTTTCTCAACCTTGACAATTTTAAGGCATGTGGACTTCAACTCCCAGAATTCCACAGCCAGCATTGCTGGCTGTGGAATTCTGGGAGTTGAAGTCCACATGCCTTAAAATTGTCAAGGCTGAGAAACACTGTGCTATGGGCAGGACACTGGAATGGAAGACCTCCAAGGTCCAGTGTTATTATTCTATGTTTTATGTTCTCATTTGTACTCTGGGTCTCAAAATGATTGAGCACAGGAAGAAAATCTGAAGCTCTTTTGGAAAACCAGAAGTTTAAAGTGCTTTAAATCAGCCGATCCAATTCTACCTGGCCAGCAAAATTAATGGCACTTTTTGTATGTTCAAGTAGCTAGATTGGTTTGAGCTGATTAGGCAAGTAATTCGCTGAAGCATCCTTGAGGAGTTTGAAAAGCGGCATTCAAATACTAACATTTTCTTGGAGGTTATTTGGACTGGACCATTTCCAAATATCTTAACGAGAGCTCAGGCCAGGAACAGCTGGTGCCCTGGCACAGATCAGATCGGAGGCCAAGAAAGGCACATGGAAGCTGCTGACTGGGCCTGGGAACAGCTTCCTCCAAGCTGGTCTTCCAGCAGTTGGTCAGTTGCCTGATTCCCTTCACTGTAAGTGTAGCTGGAAACAACCCCTGGTATCTTTAGAGCAGTGGTTCTCAACCGTTCCTTATGTGTTTTAGCCTCCAGTCCCCTGATCATCTTTGTTGCTCTTCTCTGCACTCTTTCTAGACCTCTCAACATCTTTTTTACATCGTGGTGACCAAAACTGGATGCAGTATTCCAAGTGTGGCCTTTTGAATTATCTTATTCAAAATTATCTTAAGATATTAAGTTATATTAGCAGGAACCAGGCATGGCTAGTCTAGAGGAAAAAAATATATTCAAAGTTATTTTAAGATATTAAGCTGTATTAGCAGGACCTGGGTTCAGCTAGTCTAAAGAAAAGAAGAAATAGGGGTGACATGATAGCAGTATTCCAGTATCTGAGGGGCTGCCACAAAGAAGAGGGTGTCAAATTATTCTCCAAAGCACCAGAAGACAAGAGAAGAAACAATGGTTGGATCAAAGAGAGAAGCAACCTGGAATTAAGGAGAAACTTCCTAACAGTGAGAACATTAACCAGTGGAACAGTTTGCCTCCAGAAGTTGTGGGTGATCCAACATTGGAGGTTTTTAAGAAGAGAGTGGACAGTCACTTGTCAGATGGTCTAGGGCAATGGTTCTCAACCTGTGGGTCGGGACCCCATTTGGGGTCAAACGACTATTTCACGGGGGTCGCCAAACAACGCAGTCTGCCATTTCCCCCCCCTTTTCCTTAGCTGTGCTACTCCCTTTTATTCTATTGGCTTTTGAAAACCAATAGAATAGTCTCCCTTGAATAGAGTCTAATTCTATTGGCTTTCCAAAGCCAATAGGAATTGTCCAGGCTATCTCTGCTCTGCTGAGCCCGCCAAAAGTCCCATTCTGCAAACGGTGCTGCACCAGTTGAGTCGTCCTCGACTTACGACCGGTTGAGTAGTCCTCGACTTACACTGGTTGGGGGTCGCGGCATTAAAAAGGTTGAGAACCACTGCCTTAGAGGGATCAAAAGCTCCTTAGCAAGAAAAACCCCAAGGCTTTTCTTCTCCAAGGGAAGACATTCTGCACGTGCTGTTTCAGCATCCAAAGAGCCAGGGTGTGTGAACCTGGTTAGAAGGATAGCCTCAGTGGTGCCACAGAAATTCCACTTGCTTTGTAAGTAATAAGTAAAAAGTTAAAAATGCAGACTTGCAAAGATCAAAGCACTCTGGTTACTTCTGTTGCTGCTCTGGTGCTTCAAACAGCCCATGGATCTTGCCAGCTCTCCGCCTTTTAATTTTCTTGATTAATTTTGGGGTAGGGGTGGGGCACATTCAGCCGCCCTTTTAGAGAGCAAACAAATCTCCAATTCACTCAACCAGGCCTGTCTAGACAAGATGCCACATCTGGCTGCTTCAGCTGAGAACATATTTACCCCTCCTGATTAGAATCTGCAGGGGACAAAGCAATGACTAGATTCCTTAGTGAAAACCCCAGCAGGAGATCTCTTTGAGAGGCCTTCAAAACGCTAAGTCCATCTCTTTCCTCTTTCTGAAGGAAGGCCTCGTCCGCAAATCATGTAGAAGGCGGTTGCATTCACACAAACCCAGGTTATCGGAACACCCTAACCCTTGGCAGCCTTATGGAAATTGTCTGCCCTGCCTTTCTTCCACCATGGTTTCATTTTCCTGATCCTGAGATTTCCTGGTGGTCTCCCTTCCAACAGGCCAAATCTGCAGAGCTTTTTGAGAGCAGCCAAGATGGGTGCAATCCTATCTCCCCCGCCCCCACGAAGCTTAAGAAGTGGTGCAAAGAGCAACTAAGAGGATTAAAGGCCTGGAGACTAAAACATATGAAGAACGGCTGTAGGATTTGGGTGTGGCTTAGTCTAAATAAAAAAAGGACTAGGGGGTACAGGATACCAGTCTTAATAATAATAACAGCCTTACTAGGAACTGCTTCCATCCTGCGATGATATCTGTAATCAAACATCCACATCTGCCTATGGGAAGGACTTAATAGGTAGACAAAATGCCAAATCCAGTCTGAACATCTGGCTGACTGTGCAATGATTCATAATAATAATAATAATAATAAAGTTGCAAGGGACCTTGGAGGTCATGTAGTCCAACCCCCTACTCAGGCAGGTAACCCTATACCATTTTGGACAAATGGCTGTCCAGTCTCTTCTTAAAAACTTCCAGGGTTGGAGCATTCATAGCTTCTAGAGGCAAGTAGTTCCACTGGTCAATTGTTCTCACTGTCAGGAAGTTTCTCCTTAATTCTAGGTTGCTTCTCTCCTTGATTAGTTTCCACCCGTTGCTTCTTGTCCTGCCTTCAGGTGCTTTGGAGAATAGCTTGAGTCCCTCTTCTTTGGGGCAGCCCCTGAGAGATTGGAACACTGCTATCATGTCCCCCCTCGTCCTTCTCTTCATTAAACTAGACATACCCAATTCCAGCAGCCGTTCCTTATGTGTTTTAGCCTCCAATCCCCTGATCATCTTTGTTGCTCTTCTCTGCACTCTTTCTAGACCTCTCAACATCTTTTTTACATCGTGGTGACCAAAACTGGATGCAGTATTCCAAGTGTGGCCTTTTGAATTATCTTATTCAAAATTATCTTAAGATATTAAGTTATATTAGCAGGAACCAGGCATGGCTAGTCTAGAGGAAAAAAATATATTCAAAGTTATTTTAAGATATTAAGCTGTATTAGCAGGACCTGGGTTCAGCTAGTCTAAAGAAAAGAAGAAATAGGGGTGACATGATAGCAGTATTCCAGTATCTGAGGGGCTGCCACAAAGAAGAGGGTGTCAAATTATTCTCCAAAGCACCAGAAGACAAGAGAAGAAACAATGGTTGGATCAAAGAGAGAAGCAACCTGGAATTAAGGAGAAACTTCCTAACAGTGAGAACAATTAACCAGTGGAACAGTTTCTGTCCAGAAGTTGTGGGCGCTCCATCACTGGAGACTTTTAAGAGACTGGATAGTCACTTGTCAGATGGTCTAGGGCAGTGGTTCTCAACCTGTGGGTCGGGACCCCATTTGGGGTCGAACGACGATTTCACGGGGGGTCGCCAAACAACGCAGTCCACCATTTTTTCCCCCCTTTTCCTTAGCTGTGCTACTCCCTTTTATTCTATTGGCTTTTGAAAGCCCATAGAATAGACTCTCTTGAAGAGAGTCTAATTCTATGGGCTTTCAAAAGCCAATAGGAATTGTCCAGGCTGCCTCTGCCCTGCTGAGCCCACCAAAAGTCCCATTCTGCAAACGGTGCTGCACCCGTTGAGTAGTCCTCGACTTACGACCGGTTGAGTAGTCCTCGACTTACGACCGGTTGGGGGGCCGCGGCATTAAAAAGGTCGAGAACCACTGGTCTAGGGTCTCCTGCTTGAGCGGGGGGGGGCAGTTGGACCACAAGACCACCAGGCTCCCTCCCAGCTGTATTCTGATTGATCAGTTGAATATATTTGTCCAGCAAATAAAGCAACCGGTGGCTTCCCCAACCGTCTGCCCAAACCAAGGCTCGGCGCTCACAATAACTGACCCCCAGCCCCGTTTTGCCTCATCCAGCAGGCAAGCCCAGTGGCTGAGGTCTCATTGCAAAAGGAACAGACCAGGGGCTGCAGCTGCCCTCTCAGTCCCCCCCCCCACACACACACACACTCACGTTGTCGCTCATCATGGCCTGGCTGACTTCGGACATCACGGATTTGGCCGTGCCGGTTCTCTTCCGGTTGATGTAGATGACCCCGCCGAGGTAGGTGACCAGCCCCACGGGCCCCATGAACAACACCTCCCTCTTGGCAATCTGGACACAGCGCTCCGGAAGGATTTCCATCAACCCTGCGAAGGAGAGCGCACGAAGGAAGTGAAAAAGTTCTGGAGATCTTCTTCCTGTCTTTGCCCACCGTGACCGGCTAAGACTCCAAGGAACCGTCCTGTTTGGGCTGGGGAACCCCGAGCTAGTCCTAGCCTGCCTCGCAGGATCGTTGGGCAGGCAAAAAATGGAAACAGTCGAGATGCAACCCTTATTTTGCAGCTTTGAAACCTCAAGTGAAGGTTTCATGGTCTCTGAGGAAATTAGAGTCCCTCCATTGTATTTCACAGCTCGGGGCTGGGAGGGGGTCTTCAAGGTCGGGCGGTGGTGGGACAGCAGGCAACCCCCCCCCCGAATCAGGAAGATTTTCTATATGATTTATATATGTCACTGGCAGAATTGTACAAAAATGGAAGGACGTTTCGATTCCTACGATGGACGAATGGCTACAGAAGTTGATGGAGTTGGCAGAGATGGCTAAATTGACTGTTTCGCTTAAAGAAAAGAATTTAAGTACGTTTGTTTCCACGTGGAGACCACTGCTGGATTTTGTGCTTGAGGTGGGGAAAAAAATGAAACTTTGATCTTGGGATTTACGGATTAGACTGATCTGTTGTTATGAAAATGGCTAGTTTATGCTACTTTGGAAAAGTAAAAACTGGAGTTTCGATGTGAATGCTTTATTCTACTGCAACGGAGGAAGTTGGGAGTCAATGTTCTTTTTTATTTCTCCCCTCCTCCCCACTAATTTTTTCCCCCACTGGGTCCTACTACCTGTTTTTTTGTTTTTGTAGTTTGTATGTTATTTTATGATACAATAAAATGTTATAATGAGAGGAAGGAGATTCCCACCCATTTATATCACTCACCTAGTCTACCCATTTACGTGGGTCGTAGTCTATGGCTGGGTCATGAAGCAGCCCAACACACTTTCAGCCTGTCTGTCTGTCTGTCTTCTATATCTATCTATCTATCTGTCTGTCTGTCTGTCTATATCTATCTATCTCTCTATCTATGTCTGTCTGTCTATATCTATCTATCTCTCTATCTGTCTGTCTGTCTATATCTATCTATCATCTATCTATCATCTATTTATTTATCTATTTATCTATCTATCTATCTGTCTATCTATCTGTCTGTCTGTCTGTCTATATCTATCTGTCTGTCTATCTATCTATCTATCTATCTATCTATCTATCTATCTATCTATCTATCTATCTATCTATCTATCTATCTATCTATCTATCATATCTATCTATAGTATATTTTAGGATATGGCAGTATCCCAGTCGCCCAGCAAGGTGTCAAAAACTTGATGACCAAAAAAAAAAAAAAAAAAGGAAAAAAGTGATAAAGTACAGGTAGTCCTCGACTTACAACAGTTTGCTTAATGACTGTTCGGAGTTATAATGGCACTGAAAAAGTGCCCCCCAAGCCACAGCCGAGCAAGACACCTGCCTGCCCGCCTGGTGGCGCTCTTCCTCCTGTCCGAGGTTTTCATTGTTGTGAGCATTTCTGTTGGGGATTGGCAGCGGGGGTGGGGTGGGGGGGTGTTTGGTTTTTATTCCCCCATCTGCTGGGTGGTTGTTGCAGGTTTTGGTCACTTCACATGACCCTGGGACACTGACCGTCATAAATATGAATCAGTTGCCAAGCATCTGAATGTAAATCACAAGACCCTGGAGATGCTGCAACATTCCAGCTGATTGGTGCTTCTTCAGGGCTCAGCAGAAGCGCCAGGATCAGCGCCGAGCTCCAGCTGGATCCTGGCGCTGATCCTGGTGCTTCCACTGAGCCCTGACAGTCCCGAAGAAGCGCCAATCAGCTGGAAAGTGGCACTGATCCTGGCGCTTCCACTGAGTCCTGCAGCTCCAGCCATCTCTTGCTCAGGCTTGTGCAGTGCGGTTCAGCTCATTCCCCTCCCCTGCTACTACTTTTCTAGGATGGTCGCGTACCACCTGCCAGGTGCCAATGTACCACAGGTGGTACCCGTACCACTGGTTGAAAAGCCCTGGATTATAATACTGTACCCTATTTTTTTTTTAACATTAGGCAGAAATTATCTTTTATCCCGGCTCCTAATTTATAACCTGAGTCATAGTGATCATAGTTATTAACCATAACGACTTAATTTTAATGATTCATTTCAAAACTTAAATCTTCAAACTGATATAAGTAGATGTAAATCCCCTTTATTTGGGAAACATGATGATGTTAGTAACAGCACTGTGTCTGTTTTTCTTCTTTGATTGTTTTTGCAAATAATAACGATGCCAAATCCAGTCTGAGTATCTGGCTGACTTGTGTGCAACCAAGTATAAATATCATTATTCCAAACATATACGAGTTGCATAATGAGTCAATGAACGAAAGAGAGGCAGCCAGATTTAATCTAACCAAGTTTGGTATATTGTGTAAATATACCTCTTAGGTTTTTAGCAAACCTGGCTACACATGTGAGGTGAACATAGCTATCTCAGTTAAGAAGACCGGGTGTGTCTGGGTGTGAAGTCTTCCGTGGCTTCCCTCCTTCCCTTAAAATCTCAAGCCAAGGCCACAGAATGGGAATGGCCCCTCGTGGTCTTCTCCTGCAGGGAAGAGCTTGGGGTGCAGTCAAGTGAGGAACCAGTCTGGACTGTTTACATTGCCGCAAGCAATCCAACTCTATCTCCCATGGTGAATTCCATTGACCCTTATCTGGCACCAATTTAAGTGCTGATGGTTAGTTGAGTAGGATCACCCCCCAAGGGCAGCCCTCCCACTGTGACCCCCCCAGGGAGCCCCAATAAACCCCTACCCCTCATGTCCAGGATGCTCTGGTGGTTCGAAACGATGACACAGGGACCTTCGATCTCGAAGTGCTCCAGACCCTTCACTTCAAACCTCAGGCCATAGAGGTACTTGAAGCTGCGGACCACGTTTTTGATTATCCTAAAAAAAAAAAACAGGCAAAAGCAAGGGATGAGACACCTCCACGGGGGGGGGGGGTGTGAAACCTTGCATTGAAGATGGCCTGAAGCTGTTCCTCAACAAAAGCCACATTTTTCCCAACAAACACTCTTCTGCATGCAACAGGTGTGTTCCTCGCTCATTAAACCTGAAATTCTGGCTTCTTATAAAGGTGCATCTCTTTCAGTGAGATATTAAGAGGGCTAGGAACTGCAGAACTTTTCCTGCTTTCAGCCTCCCAGCTGGAAAAACACGTTTCTCTCCTTTCCACCGTTGCGTTCACCTCCATCAATGGCCTTCTGGATGAGGCAAGAAAGTAAAATACCCAGGAAGATGACTCAGGTATTTCAACCAAGACCATGGCTGGGCACAGGGCCTCAGCCGCCCTTGGGGTGACACTCACCCTGCCCTGATCTCATCTCATCCTGCATCCCTTTGCTTTCTCTCTCTCTGGGGGAAGCGATCCTCCCAAAAGCTGGAGCCTAAAACGTACGAAGAACGGTTGCAGGAATTGGGATTGTCTAGTTTAATGAAGAGAAGGACGAGGGGGGACATGATAGCAGCCTTCCAATATCTCAGGGGCTGCCCCAAGGAAGAGGGGAGTCAACCTGTCCTCCAAAGCACCTGAAGGCAGGAGAAGAAGCAACGGATGGAAACTAATCAAGCAGAGAAGCAATCTAGAACTAAGGAGAACTTTCCTGACAGTCAGAACAATTAATTAGCGGAATGGCTTGCCTCTAGAAGTTGTGGGTGCTCCAACACGGAGGATTTTGAGAAGAGATTAGTGATTTGTCTGAAATGGTACAGAATCTCCTGCCGTGGGCAGGGCTGGAAGTAGAAGACCTAAATGCTATTATTCTATGTTCTTCTCCCCAGCCCAGGACTAAGGGAAGAACAGGATGTTGGAGGTCAACTCTAGACCACTATCACCCCAAAGATGATCATCCTGGACAAAGGGCTGCCATCTTTTGCCTCTCCTGGGCCGAGTGAAGAAGCAGACGGAGGCGGGTCGCTCTTTCCAAGCCCCAAGTTAGCGATGCTAACCAACGGTCACACCTGTAGATCTCTGATGGTTCTCCTTGCGTGGGAATTAAGACCAGAATAGGGCGGCTAGAATTGGCAAGGAAAAGTGTATCTTGGTTAAGTTTTACAGAAGACTCTGAGCCTGTGGAGACTTTACAGAAATCCTGTTTCCCTTCAGTCTGCCACTTCCACTCCAAACTTCCTAGAGAAACTATCACACCTAGAATTCCCAGCCACTGCCCACATGGGCTGGAAACTGTAGGCCCAACTTTCTCTGGCATTGCTAAAAAAAAACCATCAAGAGCTGCAAATTAATCCTTGACTTATTATTACAATTTGGACTGGGATTGCCCCTGTCAGCCTTTATGGGTGTAAGTCAAGTCAGATTCAATTTTAGGACCAATGTCATGGTAGTTGTTAAGCAAATCACATGGTCGTTAAACAAACCCACCTTGCCCAATCGGTGTTTTCTGCCGGAAGTTGCCCCCCCCCAAAAAAGTCACAAAATCTGATCATGTGGCCACAAGGCGCTGCAACCTGTCATAAATGTGAGTCTGTTGCCAAGGGCCCAAATTTCAATTCACCCGACTGTGGGGAAGATGCGACAGTCCTAAGTGTAATTACGGATTGTAGGTCCTTTTCTCAGCACGGCTGTAACTTTGAACCTTTGTTAAATGAAAGGGGAATCATTGCTAGACTACAAGTCCCAGCTTGCTTTGCTACTGGCTGCAGCCCTTCCTGGGATGAAGGCAGGTGGGGAAAAAAGGCTGTAAGATCTGGTTGGTTGCAAAACAGAGCCACGTTGGAGATGAAGATGGAAAGCACGCTGCCTTCCCTGCCCTGGGAGGAGCAGATGACACACCACCCTGAGAAGTTGGGCCTGATTGGCTCTCTGCAGCTGCCCCATCTTCATGCAAACGGGGGGGGCAGAGTCCACTTCCAACGTATGGAGCTCCTTGGAGGGGGGGGGCAGACAAGAGCGATGAGTAACATTTGGCCAGAGTTCAAGGGCAGAACTCTGGCCAGCCCATCCCTGAGGTGAGTGGCGATGTCTTTTCTGAGCATGCAGAACAGAAATAAGGATGCAAAGGGCAGCTTTGCAAATCTCTTTAGCTCAAGAGACCAAATGCACCTGTCAGAATCCAGTTATATTTCCTTTCTATCTTCTCTGATCTAAAACCAATTCTCACTCTTCCCTGGATCCTGCCATACTCCCAAGGGGGAGGGGGGATATGCATGCGGGTTTTATTACTCTCACTTCCTCTATTCACTACAAAGTAACCTTTTGTTTATTCGCCTTCGGGGTTGCTAACCATCACAATGTAACCAATTGCCTCTTATCCTATGCCCCACTGAACATCTCCTCCTTACCGGCCAGCTAGGAAAAGGTGTGTGTGTTTGAAAAGATACAGCCTTCTGGGATCTGGTTTATTTCTCTGCCATCAAAATAAGGTGTGAGGAGCTGTTAAATGATCGTGTACAACGGAGCCGGATTGATGTTATCTTTCTTGGATTTAACACCTAGGAATTTGCCGGTCTGAATCGCCCCGAAGAACTGTGGGGTGGGGTTTGTTTAGGGACACTTTAAAACATCAATCTGTAAGGGAATCCCTCAGATCCTGTCTATTATGCCTGCTATCAACCACTCTTAATAAAAGTTCCTGTTGGAAGAGATTGTTTCCAAGAGTTCTGCTTTCTTAAGATGTGGGTTGACGTGGGGCCTTACAGCACCAAGGCCTCACTTTGGAGGAGAAGCCATTTTGCAGAACCCTCCGCAGAGGGACGCAGTCTGCTTGAGGGACTTTGCATTGCACTAAGATGTTGTTTCGAGGACATTTTATTCTCAGTTTCCTGGCTCACTTGACTTCAGGAGAGAAACGGAACTGTAGATGGTTCCACAAAAGTCGATGGCCACAGTGGAAAGAAGAACCAGCAAGGAAACCAGCTCTTTGAAATTCCTCTCCAGACAAAGAGAGGAGCTGAGATCACCCACAAGTGCTCCAGACAGCTGCTCCTTGTGAGGAGACCACAAGCAATGCTCTCTGACTGGTTCAGAGTTCTGGGAGACAATGCAATGGCCATTTTTTTTTACTCAAAATAGGGTCAGTGCCTTCCAAGGGAGGCAAATGGGTGGGTTTACATATTTCCTTTTCTAAAAATATATTGATTAAATATATTTTCCACAGGGAAATGCTTCTGTTTTGAATTCTCTTTTTTAAAAAAAACCCTGATAGGATTAAACTATGAAGCTTGGACACAGAGGGAACAAAGTTGACAATTAAAGGAGAAGAACACTTAATTTGATTTACTAATACAGAATTCTCCTTCAGGGGTTATTGCCTTGTCGTGGCAAAGGGGCTTACGTAACTCAATGAAGCTATGAGCTATGCCGTGCAGGGCCAGCCAAGACAGACAGGTCATAGCCGAATTAAGCAAACTATTTTGCAATATTGAAGAATATTTTTGAGCAATGGATGCAGAAGTTAATTTTAACAGTGTCTGTTCTAGAGAGCTGTGTTTAAAAGATAGTATGGAAGAGGAACAAGTTTTACAGGACCAGATTGAGACTCATCTGACAGTGGAGTTAAAAATGAAAGGCCACATGATATGGAAACAGATGCTGCACTTACAAAATAAGCCAGGTGATGTCTTAATAATTAAAGAGGATTAAAAGAAATTTACAGAGTGACCTGGATTTTCCTATATTGGATTTACAGCTCTGAAGAAATTTCTGCACCTTCTATTTTTCCCCTTCTTTTATTTATTTATTTTTAGCTTGCATTAGCTTTTATCATTCCCTGTGGTCAAAAAAAAACATGCGGCCGAGTCAGAATGGTCAAATTCACCCAGTCCAGAACAGGCAAGGCAAAGACTTAATCTGCATTTGGACCCTGGCAGTCTTTGGGAAGCAGTTTGCACCTAGCTAGGCCCCAGGTGACTGCACCTAGGTCCCAATTTGCTCCCATCTGGGGCATCTTCAAGCCCCCCCCCTTGCAAAAGCAGCTACCCACCAATGCCAAAAAAGAATTTCAGATCTTTAAATGCTAGACTAAGTGTTTCTCAACCTCGACAATTTAAGATGCGTGGACTTCAACTCCCAGCATGCTAGCAGGGGTATTCTGGGAGTTGAAGTCCAGCCATCTTTTTTATTATTATTAAAAAGTTTTATAAAAATTACAATATAACCCACCCAACCCCCCCTCTCCCTCCCCAACTTCCCAGAGCTGAGTACAGGGTTACAAATATGATAATCATAATCTAACTAACATTAACCAACTATGTAAATAACCAAGTCCATAATGCACTTTAACTCCCCTTTAACATAAATATAAACAAATTGAAAATAAACATAATAATAATGAAAACATAAACAAGTTAATATCCTAATTATTAAACAATACCATCTCCAAATTTTTAAACAATACTAATACTAAAAATAATAATATCATAATAATACTCTAAAATTCACTCATAGGCTAAATGAAACTTTTTAGTCCCATATTTATTCTGAATATAATTTATCCATCTTCTCCAAACCGAAGTGTATCTTTCTTGTGAGTGATCCTTCAAGTAAGCAGAAATCTTAGTCATTTCTGCTAAGTTTGACACTTTAAGCGTCCATTCTTTTATAGTAGGCAAGCAATCCTTCTTCCAATATTGCCCTACTAGTAACCTTGCAGCTGTTATCAAATTCAACATCAAATTAATTTCTTTAGCATCACAATCTGTAATAACATCTTTTGATCAGCCATCTTAAAGGTGCTGAGGCTGAGAAACAATGTGTTAGACAATATCAACAACTGCCTGGAGATTTTGGGGGGGGATAAAACTTACTGAGCCCTTTTATAAAAGAGCAAAGCCAGAAGACTTTGCATTAAAAACTAGTTTAGAAAAAACTAAATTAGAAGCTAAATTAAAATAATAAAAGAGGGATGTCATTGCTGTGCCTGTCCCATCCA